AGATAATTGATTATGTTTCTCTGAGGAGAGTGTCACAACCACAACATTAACACAGATCACTATCTATGAAAAACATATGTACAGTAAGTAGTTTTCAACAATAAAAGAATATATCCCTGTTTGGTTCTGACTACATAAAACAAGACGTGTAGTTTTAGTATTTGGCACACAAAATTCCAGTATCTGTACAAACATACACTGTGCCAAAGCATAATTTAAGGCAAGCATATTAACATTCCAAAAGGTAGCAAATATCACTAGGGTACCTGAAGTACAAGCTAGGGTAATTTTATCAGACTTGATGAGGAGCGGGGAGCTCAAGTTAACAAATTTATGGGTTACGAAAGGTAATGTTGTATTGTAGAGAGATTCACTCGATTCATTTTATGAGACTGCACGGACACCAACATAAAACAAATTGCTTTCACTTCATTTCAACACCGAAAGTATTGATGTATTTTGAAAAATGCATATACAATGTCAAGTTAGTATGGAAGCTTGACTTTGGAGATTTGGACTTAAAACTATCCAACCACCTACTTGCAACATTAACTAAGAAGTGAGCCACAAAAAATAAATGAAATTTAGAGAATTATAATTACAAAAGAATAACTGCTGATGATAACAAGTGATTGCGATTTTTTACATTCTCTGACCATTAGGCAGTCTTGCACACTACTAGGGTTTTCTAATTATCAGACCACCACGTACATAACTATTTCACAACCAGACACTCCTTTAAAATTTCCACACTTATTACAGGCATTATTATCTGGTTTGTTTCAATGTAGCAACAGGTAGAGTGACGACCTGACTTTTGAAATCATATGACATTATCTAAAAGAGAAATGAGGGGAACTTACATCATAAGATCACAAATAAAACACTGGAGTGAATGCTCTTCAAAAAAACAAATGCTATTATGTCATATAAGATAGTGCCCTGAGTAATGTAAGCTCAGGCAATATACTTCAACAAAGAACTGTCACAAAGATAAAACAAGACACTGGTCAAACCTTTTGATACAGATAATCAGTCAGTACAAGTTGCAGTCCATTTGGCTGAGTAGGGTTAAAACCGAAATGGCACCCACATGCCAGTGATCTCATCACGTTTGTAATAGTGTGGCCTGTTATCTCGGAACACAGTAATTGCAGGGAACGGGTGATCTTGGATATACTTTAAGGTTTGACGAATCTATAAAGTGAAATTAACATATTATATAATACGATTGTAATAATGAGAAGTACATTACATAGTGAGGAATTTTCACCTCACTTATAAATTTTGCCTCACCATTGTTGAGAAATGGGGTGGTTCAACTTCAGGCGATGTTGATAAATGTTGAAGAATAAATTCATCTGACTGTTCCAGCCACAAGTCAACACCTCTAAGTGGTTCATAATTGAAGGGACCAATACGGTGCAAACCCGAACTACAGTCATACACATCCAACACCTTCGCCAGTTAAGTGGAAGAAAACACCAAATTAAAGCAGAGGAAAAAAATAATCAAGACACACATGTTACATGACAAGAGATGGCAAATTACCTGATGTCCTCCCGTGAGGTGCCGAGCCAATCGCAAAGATACTTCTGGACCTCGGTCAGGGAATGTGGCAGGAAAGATTTCCCCAGTTTTATTATTTACACCTAAAAAAAAATTAACATAATAAGTTTTATAAAATCTGTTAACATGTTATTGATGCCCAAATAAATATTCAACTACTTTGGCTATAATTTCTTTTTCACATGAAAGAAAATAGGACCAAAGAAACATACCAACTCCACAAATAATTGGCCAGCGGACTCCTGCTCTGACAGTTGTATTAGCTTCGCCCACACATGCTATGATTAGGTCCACTTCCAACGGCTGCTTGTGGAATGCATCTTAAAATAAATGACAACAAAATCCACTTAATACAGAAAGTACTTCAACATTAATTGTTGATGTGTTAGATCAGAGCACTTACGCATAATGCCTTGGAAAACACCCTCAGAGTAATTACGGCTATCTGCAAACCCTCCAATTAGATTTAGTTCAAGGCGACCTTCAGGAAAGCCTGCAGAAAGCTCTCTCACTCTCTCAATGAGAGTTACAACTCCATCTTCACAGCCAACATTATGGAGATGAGTTATACCAACAGCCCCTGAACCTGAAAGAAAAATTTCCTTTAATGATAACAGTAGGGGCTTCTGGAATTAAAAGAGAACTAAGAAAACTACTTGCTCATTTACCAGTGTGACGTAGCACCACAATAATACATGTAGTAGCATTATCAGTACCAAGAATGTTGACATTTTCTGTAAAGTAAGAAAATAATTATCCTTCACGTGAATACCGGTTTCCTGGAGCAAAAAACTATGCTGAAAATAATAGTATATGGAATTACTGTAACTAGATTTCAATTTTATATACGTACTATCATGAGGCACAGTAACAGCAAGCTCTCTTTCCATGACATATAGTAGCCCAACAGGCCCAACAACCTTCGTTGGTATTGAAATAAGTACAGCAGCAGAATCTCTGTAGCCTGGATGCATGTGAAACAATGTAGTCATGTCTGAGGGAGCCTCTTCCAGAGGAGTTCTGTTGACACAAAGCACCATTCTGCAAAAGAAATTTAACAATAAAAGCCAAAATCAAAGTATTTTTTCTAAAAAAAAAAAAAAAAAAAAAAAAAAAAAGATTGCCGAGTTTAAAGAATTATGAGACACATCCTTGAGGTGATTTTAGAGGCTTTAAAATCTGGGTAAAGCTCTTAACCAGTAAACCAGTAGCTAAAGTGAAGTGACATTGAAAAAAATTTAGGTAATGCGCTGGTTTTTGACAATTTAAAAGCAATGAAGAAAAAGGTGTTAACTATAGGAAAAGATGGGTCGACCTTAATTTATGAAGAATGTTGGGCCTGTTGGGACCCTTAGCTCAACTTTAAATGAGATATGAGGTGCGGCTTAGTTGTGAGCTGTAAAATAGTTAAAATATCATGGTGATGTGTGATAGGTAAAACCTTGCAATATCTTGATCAGAAATAACTGGAATTATTTGGTTACAACTCAAGCAACAACACAACATTGAAAAAATGTAACAAGACATGATTTTTGACAGAAAAAGCACTAAGGAAAAGTTGTCACTGTAGGAAGAGCCAGTTCTAGTGAGTTTGACCTTAATTTGTAAAGAATATCTATATTGAGTTAGACAGGTGTTCACGAATAAAATGATAAATGATAGGCAAATGGTACATAGGGCAGGGGTAGGCAGGGGCAGGCAACAAGTTTCATTGTACTGGGAACAAATCTAGCATCAACTGAACATTTGTGTTGTGAGATTTCCACAGATGACCGTATGTGAGAAACCAACCACCCACAATAAATTGTTATGCTTGTTTGAACACAGCAAAATAAACTTATGAGGAGGATTAAGAAGTATTTTATTCCAACAAGGATAAAAGAGATCAAAACTGAGATAAGAAGCTAGTGACCGAACCCCAACACATACCTCGACGTATTACTTCGAACACAAGGCCTAGTTCTACCACCGAAGACTTAGAAGAAACCACTTGTGTTAATAATAAAACTCCTTTGACAACGCAAGTACGTGCGTTACAAACTTCCACTAAGTTCTTGAGCATTAGCAAACATTTCTAGCGTTTTACGATTTAGCCATGCTCAACATAAATAAAACATTTGGCATACTTATGCTTCTTTTCTAACGTTCGTGTCTTCTGAATTCCTTCCCTGCACTAGGGAACTTTTTCCCCCCTAAGCCACAGTCATACAACAAAAAATAATAGAAAAAACGATGTGTAACATTAAAAAGAGTTACATAAAATAGAAATTTCAAAAGCTATTCGAGACTTCTAGTTCAGTTGAATGAGTTTTCCACGATTGTGTTTTTAAAAGTATCCAGTCACGAATTAATCCCTACAACAACAACGCAAATCTGCAAACCTGTTGAGTGGCGCTAAGTTTGAAAAGTGGAAACGACCAAGGTTTCGGTGTTGAGATGACTGCTAGACGTAGTCTGCTGCTCTCAAAAAGTTTGATTGGAAATTTTGCTTAGCTTAGCAATGTAGTTGGTGTTTCTCTTTGTTTGTGCTCTCTCCTGATTGTTTTCAATTGGATTCGGTTCACTTGTCAAACAAATGCTACTTGTTACTCTATTTATCTATAAACTATATAAGAGTCCTGTTCCGACATTATTTATCATAGGTTAGAAATTGTTTATGTCATGAATTCTAAAGCGTGGAAGGTGTCAGCTAGCATAATCATTGCCTTGCGGTCGACCGTGTCGCGTGATTCTACACCAAAGGTGGAATGCCCGAATAGGATTTCCCGAGGTGTCAGCCCAGGATACAGTACATCTGACAAGAGTAATATAAACCTTTTGTGTGTACGAAGAGGGGAGACTGATAGACACTTACCAGGAATTCATGTATTTCCTGGAGGACACATGGAAGCTGCTGACAGTAGTCCTGCATGGATTGAGTTGTATCGGTCCTTTGGGTATGAAGATAACAGCTTTCACAGCATATCAACAGGTGGTGGAATAGAACATATGCCTGACTATAAGGAGTCGGTACGTCCTAATGCTATTATCTTTCTTGCTCTAATTTTTTCATCATTAAAATTTCTGTCTTTTGTTCTTCCTTTTTTTAATTTTTTTTTTTTAATTTAGAGGAGTTCATGTATACCTGGCTGGATGTCACTACGTTTATGTGCTATAAGAGAAACATTTGAAGAAAGTGGAATCCTGTTGTGTCGTAGCCCAAGTGCGGTTGAGCAAGGACTTCCTTTTGCATCTTTCGTTGTTCTCAATGAGCTTACTGCATGGCAAAGTCGAGTGAGAGCAGATCCGCGTCAAATGTTGGCTTTGTGCCATGCAGTTGGGTGTGTTCCCGATTTGTGGGGACTTCACCTATGGAGTAACTGGCTTACACCAACTCAACAACGCATTCGTCACAATTCGGTGTTCTTCCTTGCAAATTTACATTCTTTACCTCCGTATGCTTTAGATAAATCTGAAATGGATGAGTTAAAGGTTAGTTTTCTTTTAAAATATTTCTCAAAATTATGAATTACTTAAAAAAACACATTTCATATTTGTTCATTCTTGTTTCAGTGTTCAAGTGCTTGTGACCTTATTGAACAAGCAGAATCTAGAGAAATTCGTTTTGCCAATCCGCAGTTCTATGAAGTTCTTCGTCTTTCTACATTTAAAGACCATCAAGCACTAGCTTCTTTTGCTTCTCTTAGAGCCCAACATGGTTGTATTCGTACTATGCCTGTTCAAGAAAAAGTTAAAGATGGTCTATTGTGTATTCTGCCAGGTAAACGTGACATAAGTTTTTGGTGTGATGTTTTCAAGTTATTATGTTTGTATGATTCTAGTTTTGTTTTGATTTCTTTCAGGTGACTCAAAATATCCTCTAAATATTGATTGTCAAACATTCTCAGAATTTGTTAAAAGGGACAAATCCTTCGAAGAGCTGCGCAACCAAGTAAAAGAAGAAAAGGGAATTTTACACAGGATTGAAATACCACGTGATGGTCCATGCCAAAAGGTTATAACAGAAAATTACATCCCCCCACATAAACATGTGTCACCTAGCAGAGTGAATTTTACTAAAAATTCCAATAAAAGTTCATTGTGAGACCAATATTTAGAAATTTTGTATCATGAATAAGAATTTTATTAATTAACTAGTCAAAAACAAATTTATTGCATGGACTCAAAAAGTTACCATTATTTATTCAGAAAAACTAGTCATGAAACAGTCACCTCATTTATATTTCAGGAAGAAATGATGTGAACAATTTAATTTGCCTTAATAGGATAGCTACTTTTCACGTTTGTTGATTGAACATAGTAGAAAAGAGGCTTTGAATGTTTAAACTAGCTATTTCTTACCTTACCTTGTCTCAAAAAACAAAAAATTTAGGTTTATGAAGTACAAGTATCATGTGTTTAATAAGATTATTGGCTATTAAAAGTTGCTAGCAAAAATCTTCTTTTCGTAGATAACATGCATGAACCAACAACTTTTCATAGCTATACTGCACTGAAGATGAGCACTTGAGCTTTAAGATCATACACTAGGTACTGTCATTAAGCCTCCATGTGTTTAAGAATAGCACAAGTGCATCTTAACATATGAATTTGGATCATGTCATAATTATTATTTATGTTTAACTACCTACTCTAAATAGGTACCGTACACTAAGGTTCACTAACAACAATAATCTAGGATACATGGTTCACAACAATCAAAGCTGCATGGGTTTTCATGGCAAGATAGTAGTACACAAAATGAGAGATCATAAAGTAAGTCACAGAAGACCCCAAAAGAAGGTTCTAGTGACAATTCTTATAATTATTTCAATAAATACAGGGTGAGATACAGAGTAGAAAAACCTGTACACTAAGTAAGAAAGACATAAAGACATAAAATACTTCATGACCATAAAACAGAAACCATTGGAACATAAAATAACTCTGTAATAGTTTATCAGGTACACATAAATTTCATAAAGCAACAAAAAAAAAAGTATATTTTAAAAAATGATAGATATTTACTTCTTTGTCTTGAAACTTTAAGATCATTGAACAGACAAAGGTATATGGAGCATTAGTGAAGTCTTATGTACAGATTCCACACAATTTTATAATCAGTCAAGAAAATTTTGGAAATACTTCCGACAAATGACTAAAATACATTCTTAAGAACAGTGAATACATTGAGATATTAATATATCACAGCACATTACAAGATATACCAATTTCTTAGGTGAATCTGATATTGTTTAAATGATCAGGTACTAAGGATGAAATTGAGATGTTAACATTTCAAAATGTGATGTATCTGTACTACAATTATAACAACAATGGCCATGTCATAACAGTAATTGCTTAAACATACATTTCAAGATAAAATACTGTACTTACTACACCTAGAAATCGTATTCTGGCTCAAATTGTTGTTGCATTCCACCTTGCTGACTTCCTGGTTGACCAATAGGTCCTCGGACCCCCATTTGCTGCTGTTGCAGCTGATTGATCATTGCTGGCCGATACGGTTGCTGTAAAGTGAATGAGAATCAGAAGTTTTTCAAGTTGCAGAGTACATTAATCAGATCAAATTTAGAGCTACAAAATTAAAAAAGTGATCTATATTGGTACCTGTTGAAGGAGCATTCTCAGTCCAGGATTACTAGGTCTCATCATTCGTTGTTGATTAGGATTGGGTTGCTGCTGTTGCTGAGGCTGTTGTCGTTGTTGCATACTTTGTGGACCCATTTGTCTTTGTTGTTGCAACTGTTGAAGTTGTAGCTGAGCTCTCAATTTTCCTGGGTCATTCTAAACAGAGAGGGGCAAAGAAAATAAACATTCTTAATGTGATATCTGCATGAGTTGAATGTCAACATTTTCAAGGGGATGAATGGACAAGCACAGTGAGCAATTGTTAAGGATGCAGCAGTTACTTGTACTTTTTCTTTTTTTGAAAAAAAAAAAGAAAAAAAGAAGCAAAGCAAAGTGTTTGGGTTTTATTTAAGAAAATTAACAGTTATGCAGGCAGGCAATTAAAAAAAATAAAAAAATCCTTTAATCTGAAAAAGATTATTAGTTTTGGATGACATGCGCGCACAGAGTTCTTAAGCTTCTTAGAACATCAAACACGGATCCAAGGGAAAAGGGAATAAAAAATGAGTCATTTAAGAGGGAAGTACGTAAGATACATTCTGAATGGATCACTGTAATATATTACAGGATAGCATGTAAAATGATAGATAGGGATATAGTAGAAAAAATCAGTTAGTAAAGCTTGTATACCAAAACAGGTTAAACCTTCTACAAAAGAAGATAATGTTATTTAAGCAAGTCTAAGAAAAGCAAAGGAGGGACACATAAAAATGGTTGAGGAAGTTGGGTATTTCTATGGTTGTCTTTGTTGATGCTCTCCACTCACATCAAGCACTTGTTGACCCATATCCATGGTTTGCTGCAGCTTCTGCTGCTGCACTTTCATGGTGACAAGCTGCAACCCCACAAGTGGTACATGTGAAGACTCATTCATTACCTCTAGTTTTAAATCACTCACCCAAATAATTGTGATCCCCTCCCCTCCCCCTTTCACTTTCCCTTACAGATACATACTTTAAGACCATTTCATGCATTCTATCTACTTCAGCCTTATTTTCACAACTTAGTTTACACCAATTTCCAAATAGGGACCCATTTACCTCTCTGGTCATAGGGTGCATTACAACATACAGAAGAAACCAATGTTGCACAAATAAAACCAATACTACCAAACACTGAGATAACACTCCTACCATTACCTCAAATTGCTTCAGCTGCTGCTCCATATCTTGGGAGGCACCTTGCATTTGAGGAGCCATAGCTCTTTGCATAGAGGGCATCATGCCCCGCGCCATCATGCCACCAGCCGCTCCAGGACCACCTTGAGGTCCCTGTGGTCCACCCTGTGGGCCCGCTGATACATTGGGGCCAGGCATTCGCATTCCCATTGTCCCATCCACTCCCTAAGAAGAAAAGGAAAGGAAAAGGGAGAAGAAAAAAAAGGTGTTAATTCAACAGCATGAAATTAAATGTAAAACTCTGACCAATAGTATATTACAAAACAAACTTACCTGCATTCCCATTGCATTAGATGGCCCCCCTATGACGCCTGACATTGGGCCCACCTGAGATTGTCCCTGGACAGGTCCAACTCCTGATGGACCACCCCCACCCACAGTTGACGATACAACATTTTGTGTTATTTGTCCTCCTCCCATTGCCATTTGATTGGTTTGAGATAACATCATTCCCTGCTGACCCTGACTCATACCTTGCTGCACTAAGCCCATACCCTGTGAGCCTTGTCCCATACCTTGAGATCCTTGAACCATTCCCTGTGGACCCTGCACCATACTTTGAGGACCTTGAGCCATCCCTTGCGGCCCTTGCCCCATCCCTTGAGGTCCTTGACCCATACTTTGGTGATTCTGACCCATACCCTGTGTCCCCTGACCCATTCCTTGAGGCCCCTGTCCCATTCCTTGGGGAACCTGCCCGATTCCTTGTTGCCCTTGACCCATCCCTTGAGGTCCTGGCCCCATCCCTTGAGGTCCCGGACCCATTCCTGGTGGCCCCTGTCCCATCACTTGGTGGCCTTGTCCCATTCCTTGTGGCCCCTGCCCCATACTTGGCTGGCCCTGGTTAATTCCTTGAGGGCCCATTCCTTGTTGGCCTTGATTCATGCCTTGAGGACCTTGAGCCATGGCTTGCTGACCTTGGTTCATTCCCTGAGGGCCTTGACCCATTCCTTGAGGGCCTGCTATCATTCCTTGTTGGTTTTGGCCTTGTTGCACACCCTAAATTAAGACAAACACAAAAAAAGCAGCTGTAGGTTATTGTGATTTGAGCATGTAATTTTTTATACTTAGTATGTGAATCCATTTATATTACACTTGAAAAGCATGAAGAGCGTAATGCAAGCTAAAAGAGTAATATAGTCGTCAGTAGAGTCAGTCCAGAAGTGAGAGATTTATTTAACTCGGTCATGCAGGTTAAATTGCTACAGTTGACGCTAGTAGTAGCCAAAGCAGAAGCAGCGTTATTAGCAGTAAGCCTTTTACACACATTATGACAATTTTCCAAAGTAATTTACTTGAGAATAAGGTACTACTAACCTGTCTTCCACCAGATTTTTGTTGCTGTATGACCTTTCGCAATCTGTCAACAAATGCTGCTTGGTCATTAGGAATAAAACCAATAAACGTTCTTTTATCAGATGTATAAAGCAGGATAAGAACTTTAAGATCACAAGCAGAGTTTGCGTTAGTGCTGTTAAAGTGAACACAGCCAGCCTGGAAGTAAAATTAAAAAATAATCGTGAGGTGTGTAATTTTAGTAGAGCAAAATTGTGAAACGCAGCCTTTCTAACGGATGTCCGGGAGAGTCTCGAGCAGCTCGAAGGGTTGCCTACGCACTGGCTTGCAGGCGGTGAGGGCGACAGGGGGAGCGGGTGAAGGAGGCGACCGTGGCGATCGGCCGCCTTCCGCCAATGCGTAGGCAACCCTTCGAGCTGCCGCGTATCGCGCGTATTCTCCCGGACACCCGGTATCTGAATACTTACATATCCGTTACTCATGACTTGAACAAGATTATCCAATTCTTCACAATTCTTTGGTAGAAAGAACACCGACTTTGAATTTTTTAGAAATGTACCACCTATGCTGCCAATTAGTGTTTTAGGCATCAACTGCATAAGTAACTTTTGAGGCCATGTTTCTGCTGATCTACAAGAAGTGAAAAACAGAACAAAATAATTATGATAAGACAATTAAATTAATTATTCTGGAAAACTGCTGGCATTGAGTACAGCCAAAATCGCATAATGCAGAAAACTTCTTACAATTCAGGAGGATCTTTAGAATTTGTCCCAACTTGGCAAGGTAACTGCCTTGCCAATTTGGCTTGGTTTGCTGAAGACATTTTGCTTGGACTTTTCTCAACCCATTCCAGTAAACCACTCCAAATAATTTGCCTTTGCATAGGTTGCTGAACAATGGGCTGCACTTGCTGTTGAGCTTGTTGCTGTGCTTGCTGCTGTACTTGGTGCGCTTGTTGTTGCGCTTGTTGTTGGGCCTGCTGTTGGGCCTGCTGTTGTGCCTGCTGTTGGGCTTGCTGTTGCGCTTGCTGTTGCGCCTGCTGTTGTGCTTGCTGTTGTGCCTGCTGTTGGGCTTGTTGTTGGGCTTGCTGTTGGGCTTGCTGTTGGGCTTGCTGTTGGGCTTGCTGTTGGGCTTGTGCCTGTTGAGCTTGTTGTTGCTGAGCCTGTTGTTGCTGAGCCTGTTGTTGCTGAGCTTGCTGCTGTTGTTGTAGTTGTTGCTGCTGTAGTTGTTGTTGCTGGTGCAATTGCTGTTGCTGTTGCAATTGCTGTTGTTGTAGTAATTGTTGAGGATTCGGACCTTGCTGACTCTGTCCAGGACCCTGAGTGCCTTGCTGAGCCGGAGGACCTTGTCCTTGGCCAGTTCCCTGCGACTGGGATTGGGCTCCCATCATTTGATTCATTCTCATCTGCTGCTGCGTCATGTTTCCAGCCCCTAAAAATTTTGAGAATAAAACAAAATACTTTCATTCACAAATATTAAATAGGTTTTGTGTGCAGAATATTTGAAGTTTAGAAGATGTTGTTCAACATGAGTGACAAGCTGCACACAATCTGTTAATTTCAAACTAAAGTCCTCACCAAACTGAGACTGCAGTTGGGTTTGATTAACACCTGGTCCAATATTGGTAGGAGGTTGAGTTAGCTGTGCAATGAGAGCAGAACTTTGCTGTTGTGGTGCACCTCCAGGACCTGGGAATCCCTGGCCCTAAACATGACAAAAGCATGAGATTTTGGGAGTGAGCAATTTAATCAATACCAGATCCAAATCAGCAGATAATTACCTGCATGAACTGAGGACGTGGCTGAGCTTGCATGCGCCACTGAGGACGACCTGCACCTCCTGGCATTGGGGGGTAGCTAGGCGGTTGTTGAGGAGGGTACGGAGGCCTGGCCCCTCCACCAACCATCACTCCCATCATTCCTTGCTGACCAGGCTGCGACTGCTGAGCCTGCTGAGCCTGTTGTTGAGCTTGCTGTTGTGCTTGATGTTGTGCCTGTTGTGCCTGTTGTTGGGCTTGCTGTTGAGCTTGCTGATTTTGTTGCTGTTGGGGATTTGTTGGTATCATGCCCTAAAATGTAAACACAACTTCATTTTTTTGTCAGAACACAACACAACTACTTGTTATAGATGTCAAGAATCTTACACCCGGCTGAGAATTTTGGTTCCCTCTGAAAACTGTTTGATTGGACATCATCTGCTGCTGCTGCTGCTGCTGTTGCTGCTGTTGCTGCTGTTGTTGTTGCTGCTGCTGTTGACCTCCAGTCACTGGTCCTCCACCTGCACTTCCAACCACATTAGTAATAGGGCTACCTGTGCTGGGGAGGGGGCTGGGTAGAGCAGAACCTGCTGAGGAAACTGTTTGTTGATGACCCTGCTGAACAGCATTTTGGGATGAAGCTTGGGGTGTTTGTGAAGGGGGTTGAGCTTGGGCAGTTTGTGTTGGCTGGCCTGTCGCTTGGGGAACTTGCTGGTTTGAGAGTTGTGTTCCAACCGGTGGGTTTGGGCTCACAGGACGCTCTTGTAGGCTAAAATAATAACACATGAGAAATATTCAAATAAGTAAATACAATTTAAAAAATTACTGAACATCAATACAATTTAGAGATAAAATTTCAAGTTGATACAAACCTGAATCCTTTTAAAAGCACTAGGTGACGTGGATCTTTGGCGTAATTTTTAGTCTGAGATATTTGGAGATCTCCTCCAGCTACTTCATAAAGTTTAAAGAGTGCAGGAATTTTTCGAGGAGAAAGGATGGATAAATTTATACCGCGCTGAAATGTAATAATCAGGTATGCAGTTAAAGCCAGACAAGAGAAGGTATTTACACAACAAGTTGAACTTACTTCTAAGAGAAAAGACGCAAGTTCATCCACAGAGTGACCACTTAATGAAGGTGCTTCCATTACAGGCAATAAATATGGTGGCGAATTACATATAAGGATACAATGTTTTTGTACATTTGATAGGCCATCTCGTTTTAATTGCAGATCTTCAAAACATTGAAGAGCTGTAGCTAAGCCCTCTGCAATATTTGCAAATGCCTCACCTTTTCCTCCAACCATTCTAGAAACATACAAAAACATGATGTAGCATAATATTTAAAAAAAGACAAACCCAGCTTGATTTTAAATTATTAACTGTAATACATTTCACTCACTCAACATTATCAAGCATTGACAGTAACTTGTTCGGACTACAGAAAGGTCCATAGCTGTCACTGCTAGGACAAGGTAAACAGTCTGCTGCGTGGTAAACAACAAGACCATACATCACACTATGACTCTGAAAAATGAAAAAATTAGGTGTGTGGAGATCAGTCCAAAAGTAAGCTCTCTCTGCGTAGTTACCCACAAAATAGTATGCATCAGATAGAGACAGAAATAAAATTAATACAATACCTCATGATAATCATCAATTTTAGTCTGACTAAAATACCTGCAACAAAATGTTCATTAGTTTTTCTGTGAAAAGTCATTTTGACTTGGATAAGTAGACAGGAACAGCCTCTACTTACTGCAGTGTTGGAATTACATAATTAGTTTTTAAATCATTTATATAAGCCCCATTTACAGCTGTTCCTTCAACAACAAATATTATATCCGCTTGATGATCTTCAATCGTCCCAGGAACCATGGTTAATGCTGTAACAATTCCAGGATAATATTGAGTGCATGGTTCTCAACACAGGTTAAAAGCTGTCTGAGAGTAAGTTGGAGTCAAGTCTTAAGCTAAAATTGATTCAAGGTTTCACATAAAATTTTCTACAAATTTTCTTTTAGAAAAGAATAGTCATAGAGCGTTTGATATTGTAACTGAACTGACAGGAAAATGTGTAGAAGGTTAGAAGTAGCCAATCAGAATATAGTTACCAAAATAATGCAGAGAATGTGTCACAATTTTCTGAGGTATAACTTAATCTAGTTTTCCAATGCCTTTACTCATGAAAGCAGCACTCCAACATAACCAACTAGCACTCGCAAAAACAAAATAGTATTTTTTCTCTTTTAACATAGAAATAGGAAGAAGTTCTTGACTTCAACTCACAAAGAGGTAGGTAATTCTTAAAATGTATAAATGAGAGTAAAGGAATCGTCTTCTTGTAATGAGACATCAGAAGAAGCGGAAATGTCAATAATTGACAGGACCGATTGAATGGACAAACAAAAAGCTTCGGTTCATGAAGACACGCGAAATAAGGGGCCACAAGAAGTAAATGTTACCTCAGTCCTGAGCGTTCGTAAACCACTCCCCGAGCAACTTGCAATAGCCTAAAATCTTATTGACGCGACATTTCAGTCAAAATAATAAAAACAGACAGTTTTGTTTACGTCCGCCCGAGCCGCTGCCGCTGTCCGGCCTGCGCTGCGCGGCGCCCTCGTCGCCCACTGGTGCAAGGGGTGCCCACTGGGCTCGAGGCTTGGCCCGCGTTGGCCCGCGCCCACCAATGCTGTGCACGCCGCACGCGCACGGCATTCTGAGTGGCTGGCTGCTGGCTGGTCGCCGTCTATTGGAGAATAATTTGCCGACCAATCATCGGGAAAGTCCTGTCGAAAATATCCAATGTAAGTCCACAAATTATCCCTGATTTTCCCCCTCTTCGTTAGGCCCTTGTTTGGCCGGCAAAATAGGGTGAGCTTGCGGGGAAAAGGATGATCGTGAACGGCTTGCGTGGTATGACGCTCTCAGGCTCTGCCCTTCTCGCGCAACATAGGTGGGAGCCATTTTTGTTGTTTTCTAGGAAGTTTGAAACTCTGATGACAAATCCGCGATTTGAACGATATCAACAAGTATTCGTGAACGTGTACGAAGAAAACTTAAGAATTTTTGAAAAATGAGCTTCCTACTAACCTACAGGGCTCCGTCATTCGATGGTTGCTTTGTATTTTGCCCCATGACATTTTAGTTCAGAAAACCCAGTCACTGGTTTGTTAGGGAGAATTGTATCTTCAAAGTAAGCAGTGCAAGTAAGTTGTCTGCAAGGATACCAAGAAATGAAATAATTGTACTTTTTCTGTTTGGTTATCATCAGCTCAGCATAACCCTGATTTTCTTTGTCTCGTATACAATTTGGTTCTTCTGTCTTAAGACATTTATTCTTTGACGGTAGTTTTGATTTAACCAGAAGACGCACATGAAATTTTAGCTTTAATGTATCTGTCACAAATTTTCTCACATGTTAAATTTTGTTTTCAGTGAAATTTCCTGCTGGCTGTCCTCTCTTAGGAGAGAAAATATTAATTTATGGAGGCCCAATTAGGAGCTGGTGGTCCTATCATGATGCAGACGGTCACCAATGCCGCAGGCCAACCAGTGCAGGTTAACTATTACATTGCTTCTTTGTTGTTGATTTATTTTTTAATGTTTTCTGGGGAGCAATTTTGAATGATATTTTACTTGTAAATTAAATTTTTCTAGGTTGTCCAAGTCAATCAAGGACAGGTACTTGCCGGAGGTCAGCAAATTATGGTTCATGCACTTCCTCAGGCTCAGCAAACCATACAATTAGCTACTCAAAATGGTCAAGGTATACAACAGTTACAAGTCCTCCCGATATCTGCTTTGCAGGTAAATATGCTCTAATTCTATTTCATCCCCTAAGTTTTATTCATCTGTGTGCTCGCTTAATCTTAGTGAGGCTATTGCACTCTTCTGACTTACAGAGAAATCATTTTGGTTTTAATGGTTTTCAGGGTGGAGGACAGCAGATCTTAATTCAGCAGCCACAGCAGGCTCAAATAATTCAAATGCCAGATGGTAATACTTTTATTTGCCAACCTAATCCGGTTGAGAATTCTGTGCAGCAGCAACCAACTTGTAAGTTCTCTCTGTTATTTTGATTATCAGTTATTGCAACAGACCCTTTTTAATCCAATGGAAACTGTACTTTTAATGTTTTAAACATATGTTTGCAGTAATAAATATTAATGGAAACATAGTTCAACTGGCCGCTGCGCCTGCAGCCCAGCCAACTCCTCCTGCTGCTCCTGTTGCAAGCCCAACCCCCACTGCAGTTCCAGTTCAGCAAGTAGCAGGTGTAAATGGAAACAATATTGTAATGGTAAATCTTATCTAATTATTTTTCTGTACATCTGGAACCGTTTCAATAAGATTTGTCCTATCGCACACCAGTTATATCTTAAATTTGTTTTTAATTATGCTTTGCTCATTACAGATGATGCCAGGAGGAGGGGCTGGTGGTGTAACTCAATTTTCACGTCTCCCATTAGCTGGTGCAGATATTTTGGAAGAAGAACCTCTATATGTAAATGCTAAGCAATATAGACGAATTTTGAAAAGACGCCAGGCACGAGCAAAACTAGAAGCAGAAGGAAAAATTCCTAAGGAAAGGCCTGTAAGTTATCTCTTGGTCCACATGAGTATTGTGATCCTGGAGCTTATAGTGACTTTTGCACATCATTGCCTAGTGACATCAACAATCTGTTTGGATTTCAGTTAAAGTTGTCTAATCTAAGTTTTAATTCAAAATTATTATTCTTTTTTTTTTAAATATGTAGAAATACCTTCATGAATCTAGGCACCGCCATGCTATGAATAGAATAAGAGGAGAAGGGGGGAGATTTCATTCTGGCTCAGTGAAAAAGAAAAGGATGGAAGAGGAGCGCTTACGTCAGCAACAGCTGCAACAGCAACAGCAGCAACAACAGCAGCAGCAAGTCCAGCAGTAAGTAGATTCGATTTCCATTACCTTCAAATCAATCAAATCATAATTATAACAAAATTGTGCACATAGCTGTGAAAACAAAAGTCTCTGTTGAAGAGTTTTAGCACTGAACGCTTCAGTGAATAGTGATTAAGTTCCCTCTTTTGACTCATTTGTTTCTCTTATTTTTTGCAGACAAGATGTCAGTCAACTATGTTTGACATAGATGTACATTCTAATGGAATGTGTTACTTACAAAACATCTCACAGAAGTAGCTGAGCATTTTAATGTAAACACCCACTCATAAATTTTGACTTAGATAATCTTAAACTGATGCAAGACGCACCATGTTCTAGTTCAAACAGGTATAATGTTATAAGTTACCATAATATTTGTGCAATCAAACAAAAACACCAAACAGAACCTATTTAGCTCCAAGCAAGAGACTACTCAGTAGGTTAATTTTTGTGGATAATTACATTTATGTTGTAAAATATACTTTTTTCCTCTTTTGTTTGTTTGGGGGGGGGGGGGGGGCCCCTATGTGGGGGGGTAATTCCTTGTTGCACTTAGACAAGCCACTCGTCAGTATTTGTAGGAATTGGTATTAGATTGATTACTATCAGTTGTTTTTTCACATAAGACTGTTTTCAAATCTGTATCATTTCAAACAAGCTTTTTTTGGAATGTGGGCATTCACTCTTGTCAGATTTATTTAATATTTAATAGAGTGGGAAAATGAGGGAATAGGGTTTTCTGTGATAATTAGAATACATTATGTATGTGCATGATTCTTCGATGATAGATTTGTAAGCAGGCAGTGGCAATATTGTTTGTATTTCTTTTTAACTAAGAACATTGATTTTCGTTAAGATTTTTTTAAGTTGCACTTTGCCTTAAACAATTGGTACTGTAATTGGTTAGTGATTTGTTGATTTTTCCATTCCCACAGACATGTTTGAGTTTTCCTTAAGTTGCACCCTCCTTTGTTTGATTTAAGGTTTGTTTGCTCTTATCTTACACACGAATGGTGACACTGATTTTTGCCTTATTCCACTGCTTGCAAAGAGAACTGATGCAGACTTAACCAACCAATGAATTGTTTATTTATTTATGTTTAGTTGTGTGGGGGAAATGTATAGAGTAATTTCTGACAGAACTTGCAGATTCCTACCATGTGGAATCCGCATAGTGAATGCATTGAATTTTCTTTGTACCTCATTGTCTTTTACTCACGTGAATAGTACAAATAACACCTTTTTAAATAATTGTAAATAAATCTGTAAAATTACGATGACCAAGTTTATTTCTGTGTAATGGATTTCTTTACGTCACATTTACAACACGCCCAGGTATATGGACGCAGCTTTTGCCTATGGTACTGGAATGATATGTTCACCGCAGCCACTGCTGTATTTCTACCTGTGCCCCAATGAAGGTAAGCTACCTCTGTTTTAACTGACACAAGCATTGATGAACCAAAACATGTCAGCAGTGAAGCAACAATTTTAAAGAGGGAAGGGGTAACAGGGTTGTTGCGGGCTTTACAATGAATAGGTACATGAATTTCTCCCACGCTCACGATCAAAGTGACAATTAGAGAAGAAAATGGTTCCCAGTAATTAATACATACACCAGGAAAGTAATAACTGGGTCACACTTATTGGGCCATACAGAAAAAACAGATGAGAAATAAGCCACAGAAAAATGCATCATATCAAAGCTAACTAAAGTTAGTAAAAGAAGATTACAGCCAACATTGGAATGGAAAGCACAAATTTGTATCAGTTGATTGAAATCATTACTATTACAAACTTAGTGATGTACCAACAATTAAAGTGATTTTAAACAAATAACTTAGTATTTAAACAAAAATCAATTTACAATCATTTTTGGCAACATTGACTAAACTTCATAAAAGTTACATTATTCCATTCAAAATCACTTAAGTCCTTGGTGTCTTACGCAGTACATGTCACATAGACATTACAAAAATTGAAAAACAACTGTTCTACGTAGAAAAAAAATGAGGCCCAAACCAAAATTTTGTATGGTTTTTCTTTTTTTTAAAGAAAACAGTCAATATTAGTTTGCTCCTCATCAAATAGAACCCGAATACACTACACAGTGTTGGTAGCAAAAATGCTGAAGTCACTTTTGTTTACCCTTTGTCAGAAATTTCAGATTTTTATGCATGAAACATTAATAACAGAAAAAGTAAAACATGTTAACATTATCACAAAAAGCAAAGTCTACATCCAAAATTCTTAACCATCATAAGAGACATTACCTGTTTCCACAGTGTCCATAAAGGAGGAAAAAGTCATCAACAGACATACTTTTAAAAAGTAATAAAAAAAATAATACTTTTTTTTTTACACAGAGAAGCTTGAGCCACGCAGTCACAAAAGTGCACATTCCACACAAAAAAGTCAAGTCTTTCCACAAAGCATAAATCTTTAGTGCACAGTGCACAAGGCAGTTCAGTGCAATTGAATTCAGTGAAAAAAAGATTTGTTAAGTAAGCTCTTTTAGCTTTAACCACAAACCCAATACAAATTAACGGGATAAAATAGAGCAGCTATGTTCAGTATGTACAACAAATAAATTATTCTGAAGTAGCATTATTACTTCTTAAGTAGGGTACAATGATTTGCTTCAAACAAGTAAACAATAAACAAAAAAAAGAGAACAAAAATTTGGAAAATCTAATATCAATAAATTTTGATACTTAAAGTAAGTTCACAGGAAAATTAATGAGCTAGGGTTAACAACATAATTAACACAGATTTTAGCACAATGCAATAAATACATTAAAAAAGGAAAACAAGGATACGCACAATCCACTTGCTTAAAACTCATGACAATTTACTACAGCAGTTAGAGTCTCCAATTGATGTTGTTCGCCCATTAATTGTAGGGGAGTTAGTATCATACCGTGGTAATTCTTTGCTTCTTGCTTGCTATAATAGAAGAACAGCAGGAAGTTCAGGGGCTGTAATTATTCATTAAAATGCACAATACCTAGCTCATGACTGTAAGGTGAAACAAATACTTACTTCCATTAATTCTGCAGCTATTTCCATAAATAATTTTTCCACATTCTCAGCTTCCTTGGCAGAAGTTTCTAGGAAATACATATCATGCCTTTGGGCAAAATCTTCACCAACATGCATAGGAATCTCGCGATCTTCCCTGTCCATTTTGTTTCCTAAAGAAAGAAAGCACAACACAGATTCATTGTCAAGACATGAAAAACACATCCAGGTTTGTAGACTGAAGCATTCTTAGAACACTTACCAACAAGTATTCGTAAGACTTTATTGCTTGCATACTCTTCTATTTCTCTTAGCCAATCAGGAAGACAATCAAATGTTGGTTGACAGCTAATATCATACACTAGAATGAGTGCATGAGCTGACCGATAATAGCTCTGAGTAATAGAACGGAAGCGCTCTTGACCAGCAGTGTCCCATATTTGCAGCTGCCATTAAAAGACAAGAAGTTGATTTAACAAAGAAAAACTTTTCCACTTTCCTTGGAACTAGCGCAAAATTTCTTACCTTAACTTTTTCCCCATCTATCTCGACAGTTTTTATCATGAAGTCTACTCCTATTGTTGCACCTTGCCCTGGAGGAAAAAGCCCCTACCAATGATAAATTACATTAGATTATTTGTGTTCATTTAAACAGACATATGGGAATGGATTCCGGAGTGTACTTTCATGACATACTTGAGTGAAACGTCTAACCAAACATGTTTTTCCAACACCAGCGTTTCCTACGAGAACAACTTTAAAGAGAAATTTGTAATCCTCCATAATGAACCTAGAACAAAAACATCAAGATCAAGGCCCATTTTTAATAGATGTAGGGAATAATTTTATCTTCAACTGACATACAAATTTGGACGGGCTTTCCACTCATTAAAGCGTGGATTTAAAAATTGTCAAGGTATTACAAACATTGGACAAGGTGTGCTAGCATAGCTGCAGAATACTTAAAAGCAGACTTCCTGTCAAACTGTCAGCAACATTTAACCTAACTTTACCATATTCTGTTCAGCACCAAGGGATCAATTAAGTTAGAGATTCATAATTTTCATAAACAAACAATACCAAAAGCTTCAAAGGCGAAAGAAATTTTCCTTTTCGGAGAAACAGTAAGTATTTTCAGAAGTATCACAAACTGTATGTAAATAAAAACTACATCATCATAGCATGAATATAAAAGTGGTTCACCTTGAATTTTAAAATGTCTTTTCGGCATCCAGGGAGCGAAGGATCGGGGGAAAGGGAAGAAACGAGAGCTGTTGTATCATTCCACATTTATGATCGAAGCATAAAAATCCATGACAATTTTACTGAAAACCACTAGAACTGACACTGACAAGGGACAGTGTTTTTTTGGTCTATTTCTATTTACATTAAGCACAGCGCCTTCAGGTATACCTCAAACATGAACGATTCGAATCCGACTTCAGGCAGGATCGCAGGAATCCGGATATGGTGGGAAAGTAGGCGGGAAAGAAGAGAGGGAAGCCCTTTAAACAGCCTCAAACCTTGAGAAAGGACCGCCTGGAAAAGAAGCAAGGGGTCGGATAAGCCCTCTGAGACCCC